AAAATTGATAAATGAGATTCCATCAAAATTTAGAACTTTAAATGACATCCTTAAAATGAAAAGTAGTCCTTAAACAGACCATATTTACAATGCATAAAACCTATGAGCAGAATGTATAAAGAATTCTTAGAGCTCATTAATAGACAACCCAGTTAAAATGTAGACATAAGATGATAAATAGCCAGTATAGCACAAGGAATAGTGTGCAATTCTAAAATCAGAAAAATACTAATCAGTACAATAATAAGATTGAATTATACACTCATTAGGGAGATGAAGTCAAAAGTTTTAAAAGTAAGGCAAGTTACTTAAAGCAGCAATTGTCCACCCTGTCCTCACTTTTGGAGGTAGCTGTTGTCAGCTCTGTTGGATGATTTTTTTGGTTTTCCTACATTTCAACATTCTTACATTTCTGTTTTCTAAGTTTGCAGCTTTAGGTTTTCTCTTGTTTTGCATTCCAGAGGACCAGACTTAAGCACCTTCTTAACCACTGTCACACCCTGCACTTGCACAAATACCTGTCCAGCTGTCCGCTTCTTCAAATGATCAGATTGTGATTTGTGGTCAGGTCAAGATCTAATGTTTTAAACTGAACACAATTTACAGCTGAGTCACATAGTGTACTGTGCTTGTTTTTCCTTCCCCTGTTGCATTTTATTTTTCCTGGAGTTAAAAGTTGCCATGCACTTCGTTTGTTTCCTTTTCGAGGTTATCGGCATCAGTTCCACCAAGGTGTTCAGTTGTGTGTATCGTTTATCATTGTGTTTCAGACATGTGTATTCTACTGTCTTGACACAACCTTGTAGAGCTGTCAGGTCCTTGCTAATCTCAGTGGTCATTCTAGGGTCCCCTGGAGCTCCAGGGAGCCAGTCCTCTCTCTGAGACTCGTTTATCCTCAACAGAGAATTTGGTGGTTGCAGCAGATACAGTCGCTGTTGTTTTTAAAGTATTTATTTGAGAAAATTATGAAAAGTAACTATGCTGGTATTTCTCTTTTATGTGTTGTGATGAAGATAAACTTGAATTTAAAAATAAAGAATGTATTCTTTTATTTAATTGTTTTGTTTAGAGCATATTAAAAACTGCATTGTATTCTGTCTTCATAGGCTGTGAAAATCAGAGAGGTCTGTAATTGCCCACCACTTTCTGGACCAGATCCTCGATTACTATTCAAACTTAGCATGAAGAATTTTTGTCAAGAATTGGAAAAAGACCAAAATACCACTTTTAAGAAACAGAAAATGGATCCTCTTCCCACTCAAAAACAGGAGCAAATACCATTAACATACATAGTAGAGAAGCAAACTGGGAGTTGAATTAAAATTTATGAGACTCAGAATATGTGAAGAATACAGTAATCTTTACCGTTTTTATGTTACTTTTTAGAAAATTATGTTTGAAATGAAAATGGATATTTAGGGTTAAATCATGTGTATTACAGATACTGTACTATCTAAATTCTTCTAAGTATTTATTTTTCATGAAATATTGATGTATTTTAATCTATTTTAAAATAATTTCAGTGAGGAAAATGTCACAGAATAAATTTCCATTACACATTTTTACTCTCTTGTACTTCCTTTTTTGATTTGGAAGGCAGACCCCTTGTGGATGAAAAACCTGAAGGTGCAGTAATTGTTAGTGTAGAGAGGGTTTCAGCCGAGCCGAAACTGGATTTCAGAGTCTGGGTGGTTATGATGAACCAGGAAACTCATAGTCTGCTTGCAGGAAATGGTTTGCATTGAGGGAGGATTATGTGGACAGTGGGACCTTGGGATAGAGGATTTCCTGGTCTTCGCCTATGGATGAGTGGGGAAGGGCTGTCAGCAGAAGTGGAAGAAGCACTTTTCATGGAGAGGTACAATGGTCCAGGTGAAAGAGCAAGCAACAGAATGAGGAGGAAGATCATCTTTAGGCTGTCACAGTGTGTTTCTGAAGTTGTCACAAATCATGTCATTTTAATTCTTCATCAGTGCTACATTTTGGAAGTGGCTGGCATTCTCAGAGAGGACAGCTACTCTGCCAGTGAGGGTTCTACCACGAGGGGCAGGCGAGCTACTGCTGCAAAGGCTGTCTCCCCAACTGGACAACATCAAGAGGCTGCCAGATGAAGACTGCAGAGAAATAGCCATAATGCCCAGAAATTAATGTACTATATAAACATGGAAGTAAGATTTAAACACATTATTATTTTGTACTACCAAATTGGTGAAGTCTAGTGATGGTTAAGTTACAAATAGTCTTAAGAGTTGGAACATTTTTCTTGTAACATTTATATTAAATACTTTCTTAAAAAATTAAGAGGGAAAGAAACTATTTACTGGGTATATACAGTGAGCTGGGCCTCATTCATTTATTCTACAACCTTATGAAATACATGTTTTCTCATTTTACACCAAAAAACATGCGTGGAGAGGTTAAGTTACATACCCAGTGTCTCTCACCTAAAAAGAGCAAAGCTGTACCTGTCTGAGTACTATTCTGTCCATCTTCCACAGCTCTTGGGTATCCAAGACTATAAACTATCAAAGATAAGGAACAAGTCAACTTTCAGTTTGTTAGTTTCTTCATGTGTGGTGTCAGTACAGGGAAAGATAACTATGGAATCAGATCACATGTGCTGTCTGCAGAATGATTGTCCAAGTCTTTCTCTCAGACTCTTCTATCAAAATCTAAGTGAGAAGCCTGGGGTGAGGCCAAATAGAGTGGGCCCTACCTGCCTGTGGAAGCCCGTAAAGTCTGTTCAGTTTGCTTAGACAAAACATTTACCTAGTTGCTGAGAAGACAAATTCAGACCCTGTTTATATTTCTCATGGCTTATCACATATTGCTTTTAAGGTATTTCTTGATCTGCATAGAAGATAGCACTTCTAAGGGAGAGGTTCACAGGAACTGTTGTCCATCATGTCATTCTTTATTTACGCTTCTGGTGATTGAAGTTTTATAAGAGGCTCCGTGTAACACATAAAGATGTTTGGAGAATGTCACCTAGAGCTAACCAGTAAAACACACTAATTTCCCTGCAGATTTCCCAAGAAAATAATGTGTGGAAACCCTGATCTGTTTTTCTTCCATCTCATTGTCACATGTAATTGTGTTGTTCAGACTTCTTAGAAAACATATACAAGTTGGCATCATGTTAGAAAGAGCAGAGATAATACAGAGGTAATATATTCATAGCACCTATGTGAAAGGTGTTTTACCCATAGAGTCAAATATAAAAAATGTTACATTTTGGCTCAGGGTTTTAAGAGAAATTAACAATTTGAATGTAAGATGTATACTTTTAAGTGTTATATGGAAACAGCCTCTATGTTCTGCATTTAGTTGTAGATCTTTTGTTGTTATCTCTGCTTTTCCTGCTCCTATAGGATTTGGTTGTTGACTGGTTAGTTAGGTGCAGGAAGCTAGCAAATTCAAGGCATAAACTTAGTCTAATCTCTTCTATAATTCAGATAGTTGTAATCTGGATAGAGACTATCCTCTGAAACCAAAAGAGAATGTAGCTGGGCATTGTGGCTCATACCTATAATACCTGCTACTGGGGAGGCTGAGGTAGGAGGATTGCAAATTTGATGCCAGCCAAGGCAACTTAGTGTGAAACTTTGCCTCTCAGAAAACAACAAGAAAGAGCTGAGATGTAGCTCAGTGGTAGACTCCCTAGATTCAATCCCCAGTAATACACACACACACAAACACACAGAGAATATGTATATTTACCTGTATATATCTGATACCTCAATAGTTTTTTGCACATTATAAGCATTTGGTTAACATTTTATTTACCACCAACATTAATCATCTGGTCAAAGAATTAAAAAAAATCATACTTTGTGAAATCTCTGCCTTTTGGTAGCTGTGGGACCCTACCCTAGAAAAGTTACCTAAACTCTAACCCTCATTTCTAAATCTGACAGCCCTCATCCATCAATGTGATGATAAAATGAAATGTATGCAACGCCTCAGCCTACTGTTATAGAGCTCCAGTCACCATTTTTATTGAGTGCTTGTTTTGTACTGAGCACCACACTAAGCATTTTTCAAGCACTCTTGAACCTTTGTGCAGCCCTGTATGTAGAGACCACTGCCCTCCATTGTAGATCAGCAAACTGAACTTTAGAGAGTGAATGAAACTTGCTCAAGGTTAAGCTATGGAAACAGCAGAAGCAAACTTTACCCATAAGAACAGAAAACCAACTCAGTCATGAAAATTCATTGCCTCACCTAACAGGAAACCCCATGTGTCTCCCCGCTTTGGGCACAGTTTAATTCAGAGGATCACTGTGTCATCAAACAGTGTCCTTTTTCTTTTGAGTCTTTCTCATCTCTGGTCACTGAGCCCTGATGGCGGTGAGGTGACTTCAGGCAGCTCCATGTTTCACTCGTGTCCAGGTGGGAAGAGTGATTGTCTTCACACCTGCTGAATGAAGCCTTCCACACTGGGGGAGGCGGGGTGCAGGATTAACTTGGACCTGTCAGTGCCCAGCCCCGGGGCCGAGGAGAGGAGGGGTACTCAAAATCACCCACAGTTGCCGCTGCATTGTGGGACAGAGCAACTGCAGGGCCTGTTGAGTAAGCAGCAGGGCCAGAATTAAAACCTGTAATTGTTATCCTCTTTTGTCGGAAAGAAACAAGAGAATTTCTTCACAGTTTGATCTGAAATGGAACTTGATCCCAACAAAAATAATGTAGCATGAGTTTCACATTGGCAGTAGAATATTTGCTTAATGTTAGTATATTTACCATACAAGGCTTGTCTTGTTTTTGTTGTTTTAAACCTAAACTATATCCTCAAAACCAACCTGTAAGATTAAAAGACAAATGGCATTATTTACTGCAAGGAGAGAAAACCAAAGGATGGAAGAATCAGATTATCCAAGTGTGAACTTCAAGTTAATGACTGAACTGGGGCTGAATCTAAAAGATTCTCTGCTTTGTAACCAACTCATTGTTCTTTCTGCAGCACCACATCTTCGGAGAAGCAGGTATTACCTTCATTTCTTATCTGGAAACCAGAGCTCAAAGATATTAAGCAGTGTGTGCCCAGAAGTACTCAGCTCTGAATGAGAGAACTGAGATTCAGATCCTCATCGTCTGACTAGTCTGTGCTTCTCATTCACTTACTGCCTCTTCAGTTGGCAGATCTCGTGAAGGTAGTGAGGATGAAAACTGTGTGTTTCCCTGCAGCCCTCTCTTATGAGCAGCAGGGCCAATACTTCTTTCCCCTTGTTTAAAAGCACTCATTTGAATACTCTGACAGCTGATAAAAGTATACATTTGAAGCATATTTGTACATGTGAAGGATAAAATTAATCACCTCATAATGTGCTTATTAGGGTCTAGGGAGTTCTTCAGTTTCTGGTGAGAAATGGACCCCATTCCCTTCCGGAAGAAGCCTCAGCTTTCTACCCCTCCATCCTGGTCCCCTGAATCCTATCAGAAATGTTTAGCCACTGGCTCCCTGTCTCCAAATCTCCAAGTACTCCTTTCCTGGTACTTGCTTTGTGTGTGAGGAACCTCAGACCACAGCTCTGTTTTGAAGGGTTGGAATGTCTGGACTCATGACCAGAATCTCACAACCTTGGCTGTTGAGGAGCGGAGACTGCTGAGCAGAGGGCAGAAGTCACAGTGGCTTCTCTTCCAGCTTTCAGAATCTCTATCAGCAAAGATCACATAATGATCTCTGATCATTATGTGTCCTCTGGTGTCAGCAGAACTCCAGCTAAAAGAGCAGAAATTTGTGGTTTTAATTTGCTAGAGTTGCCTAGTTATGTGAGAGAGAAAAATACAAAACTTTTTGTAGGCTCTTGGAAATAACGAAGCATAGCTGGCAGATTGTCTCCTCTTTTGAGAATATAAAAGAAATTAAAACTCGTGTATTAATTTTGACCAACAGACCCAAAGTATAACCGTATTTTTGTAGGTTAGAGATGATGATGGTCTACTTAAGGACTCTGGGGTTCTATACTTAAGGATATATTTTCTAAATCACCTTGTTTTTGCACAGAAACAAATTAAAATTTTCCACATTAATTCCCCTATCATGTTATTGTAGTTATGAGAGAATCAAGGGCAACATCACTGGTCTTATTTTTTTCTTTGGGAAAATGGGATAGTAACATTTCCCTTACCCAATTCCTAGGATTTAAATATAGTAACATGTATATGCTTTGTACAGCATCCAAAGGGCTGTACCTGTGCTGATTCTTACATGTTAGCATTATTAGGAGAGGACATTGTCAGAGGGCAGCCACTTACCTGATCTGTCACAACTCAGAACTGATGATGATTTGCCCTTGTCTGGAGAATGCTCCTG